CCAACAGTACCAGTGTTGAGAAACCTTGATTTAGGGGAAAAAAAAAAAAAAAAAAAAAGCAAAAATGAATGCAAAGTATGCTTTAAAACTGTAACAGAACTAATCCAAAACATCTAGGAGGAGTTAAAAGAAAAAAATCTATTTTATGACTTTCATGCATAATACCTGCAAATGGATGAACTGATTTATCCACTTAATTATCTTGGTGATGGTTCTCAGAAGCAAGAGACACACACACATGCACCACTGACACCCTGTACTTTCATAATTACTAACTTTTGTTAAAATTTTGAAATTAAAATTAGTTTCCTTTTGTTGCATAAAAGAGCATACCAAATAGAACCAAAAGTTCAACCCCTTTGATGTTCTTTGGTAATGTGCCTAATTAAAAATAACTAGGCTCTCCAATGCATAATTACACAAGTACCTAATACACTATATTTCCAGTCAATTTTGTCTCAAACATAAATATGCACCAGAAGTATGAATGATCGACATATTACTCCCTGCAGTATCTGTACTATTTCTGAATCAAGGTTTTTCTTGAGCTCAGTATTTTCACTACCTTTTCCTTGCTAGGCAATCATCTCCCAGTTGGACAATTAATAAGTGCTTTTTTCCACAGCCCTTGGCATGTAACCTCGCTTACCCTGTATTTTAGCATGCACTATATACCTTCTTCACTCTGACTGGTTTTGGCAGTGACCCACAATCTAAATCTCTTTCCTCTATTTGATATAAGTGAAACTATAATTATCTAGGGGTAATTTCAAATTACTACTTCATTCCACTAGCAACTGATGAAGATTAGTGGTCTTGCCTTGCATCTGAGTAAGTCAGCAACATAATCACAAGAGAACTCAGCAGGCAACATTTGATTCATGCGAATTCAATTACTTCTGTCAAACACATTCACTTCAATAAAAAACAAAAACTTCCAAAATGTGTTTTTGCTAATAATTTTGTACTCAAAAAAAAAAAACAAAAAAAAACATATGACTCTTAAGGGAAAAAACAGCATGAATTTCATCAGAAATAATAATAAATAACAAGTAGGAAAACATATTTGTAGAAATGGATTTAATACATTATTAGTTTCTGAAAATAAAAATATTTCAAAGAAATAAATTCGTATATTTAAAACAGTTTATTATTGAAAATTTGGGCATATAAATAAGCCATAGAAAAATAAATGCATTCTATAATTTAAGTTAATGCAACAGAAACCAGAGTATTCTGCTACCTCATTAAAACCAGGTTATTACAGGATAGTCAATTTCGCTTAAAGGAAGTAAAATAAGGGGACATGAAGAAAAGATGATAGATGATGAATTGCTAAATGGACAAGGACTCCTGAGTCACTTCTTGATTGTCTTCTGGGTTGAAGCCATATGTTAATGAGCAGCCCAGCTCTCTGTATCCTGAATGTTTAGTCTCTAAAAGACCTTGGGTCAACTCCATGATGCACGTATATCAGGTCACATGAGCATGATCTGACAGCAACTACCTGGTCAAATCCTAATAAAGTAAATATTAACATGTGATAATCCTTACAATGGATTTACTCAAATTTCAGCTTCTTTATACAGTCATATCTTCAATGAAATTCCAACATGCTTTGATTACCAAAGAAACGGTAATTAAATGTTAATGTATAATAAGAGTATGTTATAAAAACATTTCAGGATGTGATGTTCTGAAGTCTAGATCACTAAATCGGTCTCCGTAAGAGTTAATATATCACATGCCAACCATGTATGATTTAACACAAAGAACTTGAAAATTCGGCCTGGGAATCTTAGGACTAAGAAATGACTGGTTTAAGAGGCACGTTTGTCAATTCTGTGACCAAAGAGACTTTCTACAGATGGTTTTAAAGTTAAAAAACACATTAATACAGTAGTTTCCCCTTATCTACGCTTTAGTTTCTGGCGGTTTCAGTTAGCTGCAGTCAACTCCAGAAGAGAAACAGAAGATCCTCCTGCCATATCCTCAGAAGGTTAACAGTAGCCAAAGGAGAGGTCATGGTGCCTATGTCATTCCCCTCACTTCATCTCAACCTGCAGGCATGCTATCGTCTCACATCATCCCAAGAAGGGAAAGCACAATACGAGATATTTTGACAGAGAGTGAGAGACCTCATTCACATAACTTTTATTATAATGTAGAGTGGTTACATTTTATTATTTATTGTTGATCTCTTACTGCGCCTCATTTATACATTAGACTATCACATAAGAAAAAGCATAGTGTTTATAGGGTTCGGTAATATGTGCAATTTCAGGCATCCCTGGGGATCCTGTAACGTAAACCCCTCAGATAAGGAAGGACTACTGCAAAATTAAAGCACAATATTCTTTTATACTTTTGCTCATTCTACTCTCTCTTTTGATTCATTTTTCTACTAATTGCCTTTTGATTTCTTGCTCATTCCTTAAGATAACATTCACCACCACTGCCATCAAGGACCATGTGATCTATTGGGGGTGAAGAGAGTCGTTAATCAAACAATAAATCAACAAAAAGATGCAAAATCATCACTCTAAAGGGCTCTCTATTATTACTTACTTATATATCTTGTAGGTAAATAATAGAGAGGCCTGATCTTGAAGACTCAGGGATGGCTTCCCTGAAGAAGAGTTGCTGGATGATAAATTTGAAGGATTAGTATGAGTTAATCAGGCATGAAGTTGGTAGAAGAATTTCAGGGCAGGGAAATAGAATCACAGACCAAGTAGTAAAAGTGAGCTTTTGAGAAAGAGAAAGAAAGCCAGTGTGACTAGTGCACAGAGAAGAGGAGGAAACATAGCTTAAGATGTGTCTAGAGCAAAATCAAGCAGAATCTTAAGCTATTGTAAAAATTTATCTTAAAGGAAACCACTGAAGTATTTAAAGTTTGTGGTGGGGGTTAAGTGGGGGCAGAGAAGGATGGGTGTGTGTAACAATGAGATTTGCATTTCTGTAAAGGCATATATTCACATGACTCAAAAATCAAAATATTATTATATAAAGTCATTCATTATATTTAAAGTAAAGTTTCTGTATGGGGGGGGTGAGGAGGCACCATTCATATAGACTGCATTGTGTCGAACACCCCACTGCCTCTCAGTTAGGTTTCCACTCCTCAATTATTAAAAGTATGAGAAGAGAAAGGTATGCACTGAGTATCTGGACTAAGAAACATTCTGTCAGAACACTACTTCCCCAAGATGCTCTCATGATAAGAATGCACAGAACCTTTTAATCCCCGCAACGATCAAAAATTGTCTTCTATAAACGCAGAGATCTTTCATACCCTCTGTTCATTTGGATGAAGACAAAGTTCATTTTGTTCTGACCTAAAGTGACCACGTACCAATCTCTTAAGTGACATAAATAATCAAATAGAACATTTGATTTATAATACTGGTAAACAAAACTTTAGAAATAGTAAGATTTATATTGTAAATATTTTAGACTAAATAATGAAATGTGTTCAACAGATTATATATAATCTTCTGCTTCTGATTCTACAATTACATGTATCTTCACCTTACACTAAAAGGCACTGTTCAAGAAGAAAAGTTAAGATAATGTTAGAATTTTTCTTTAAATCCAATCTGAAATGAAAAATAATTCACTTCCCTGAAAAGTTTAAAATAATTTACAAGACATAATTTTGACTTAATAGAACTTTATATATGTGTATATACACACACAAAAGTATAGAGAGTTGTAGACTAAATATAAAGACAACCATAAATTTAATTGTAGATTATATTGTAGGAATACAAAATAAAAGCTGATGCTGAAAAATAATTTTAAAGATGGTGCAACATATTTCTAGGGAGAAATAATTAAGTCACTATTATTTACTGATCATTTCCCTAGTTTTGATTCCCTGAATCTATAATCAATCTATAGTAGGCCTGAATGAACATGAGCAAGTTGATTCATATAATATAACAGATTCAGAAAAAAAAAAAAAATGCACCTGAAGCTACCAGGTGGTATCACGGATGTCTCAGCATTTAGTTTTCTCTTCAGTGAACAGTAACTCTCCTTGCCTATTTAGCATGTGCACAGCATGGTGAAAACAAGCTCAGGTTCATAAGGATGAATCTTTTTTTTTTTAAGTAAAAATATTTTCTTCTTCATATGCGGTTCTTCATTCTGACATAAAGCATTAACCTATTCCAAAAAACCATTGTTAAATATCTAAGTTTAACTCACTATGCTGCAGGCAAAATGAGGGTATTTTCAAATGAAAAGGGAAATACAAATGATCAAGTTTCAATTTAAAACAAAAATTAAAACAGAAAAAAAAATGCCCAAGAATAAACTGCTTTGAAATAACTTTTTTTTTTTTTTTTTTTTTTTTGTATTGGCTCTATCTCCAAAGCTATTTTCTTGGGTACTACTTATTATGCATTCCATATTGACGTGTAAGTTTTTAAAAGCAAACATGTAATAGCAATTATATGTAAACAATACAGTAAACTAAGTAAACTGTCAGGTGACAGGCATTTTCATACAGAGTTCATATGGTTGAACTTATTTCTGAAGAATTTTTTTAAAGGCAGTCAAAAGTATACCAAACAAGTCTCATCTAACATTTGCATTTGAATTTTATACAGCAAGGTGAGGGTACTACTATTTTCTCTTCATGGAGAGAAAATAGCAGTAGAGCAGCAGACAGTTTTTTTCTTCATTCAAGGAAAAAATTTCTTTGGTTTGAGTTACTCAAAAATAAAACTCCTGAAAGCTAAATGAATATAAAATACTGCACTGCAAGTAAGACACTCTCTGAACATTAATTATGTATATCCATCAAAATATTACATTAAATCTTTGACCATTGCCAGAAATTTTAAAATTTGGAGAGAAATCAAACTTGAGGAGAAATAATCTCCATAAATTAGCAAAGTAAAAGGTCGCCTGTCCATAATCACTGGAGGAAATACACACACATGATCCAACTGAAGCGGACAGCTCCTGCACGTCTGCAGGCAAATTCTTACCTTGACAGGTGCCATTTTTCTCTTCATATCCTGCCTTGCACATGCATTTCCCGATGGGCACCAGCCACTCCCCTTCAGCACTGCAGTGCATTTTGGGTGGTTCGTCTGTCACAGAGTGGTTGACACAGGAGCCCGACACTTCAAGCAATTGCGAAGAATCAGCTCCAGTGATTGTGTCGGGGAACACAGCCAAGTGTCTTACCACCGAAGGGCATTTTTTATAGTACACACGCACAGACACCAGAGCAATGCAAGCACCCACATCTTGAAACGCAAGATAAAATCCCTTTTTGGTTAGCGGTCCTACATCTCTGACCTCTGTATTCAGTTTCATAACCCGGTCACCAAGATCAAGCTCTGTAAAGCTTTCATCGGCCGCAATAGTATCAATTTTGATGTACTGGTTTTCCTTGATGTTTCTCCCGTTCTCATCATCTGATTCAAAGTAATACATGTTAAACGTTTCTTTACAGGTTCCCAGTCCTCCAGGAAGACTGTTGCAGTCCCGCAGAGTAAACTTGAGTTCTATAAAGATTCTGGAAGCACCTTCGTTGGAAATCCAACTGGTCAAAAGCCAGTTATTCTGATTCTGTTCCATAACTTTGCATACTTGGTATGTGTGGATAGGGGCATAATTTTCATCAACTTCGCCAATCTCTTCCCACTGTATAAATAGAAAGACAATTATATAGTATTTAGAAAATAACTAACAAAAATTACCATAGAAAACTATTTTAGATATAGAAATTTCTGCAGCCTTAATCTATGGTATTGGGAGAAGGAGCTCTACAATGAGAATTTTTTTTAAAAATACCTTTTTAAATTAAGTAAATTAATAGAACATTATTCTTTGTCTCCACTAACTCAAAAGTTAACACAAATGAATTTGATGTAAAAGAAAATGCATGTATTTCACAGAAAACGTAGAAGTAAATTGAATGTGGGTGCGGTTAACACGAAGGAGCAGTCAGAGGAAATTAGCTATATTTGGAAGAAAGTTAAGTATGTATACCAACAGAGTAGATAAAGTGTGACAGAAAAAAAGAAGTACATTTTTTAAAAGACAACAGCAGAAAAAAGCAATAAATGTGAAAAAGAAGGGAGAAAAAATGTAAAATGTGAATTCACATTTACTTAATTCTGGCATGTTATAAATAACACATCAATGTAATAATACTTGCAAGAAAATTCATTAGTTTAAAAGCAATAGTAGATGCTTATTTCACTGACCCAATCTGTTTGGGATTCTTTTGCAAATTGGATTGCTAAATGTTTATTCATAAGTGTATCTATAAAACATATACCTAGAGACAGATAAAAAATAGAGATTAAAGTTATATATGAATAGCTTTGGCATTTGAATCCTGAGCTTTTGGGAATGCATTAATTATTTTTACCAACCCATTATTTCACAGAGTGACCTTATGAGTTCTGAATATAAACAGGGTACAGAAAAAAATTAAGTATGATTTATATAGCTTCCAAAATATTTGGTCAGAGAGAGCTAGGCTTAGCTCTTTCCCAATAAAGTATTCCAGTTTTAAGACTTCTGATGTACCGTAATCACTTTCTGAACAGTATAGAAACAAATTTTTATTCTCCATAAAGACATTATTATTATAATTTAAGAAGTTATTTAAAGATTCATAAAGAACCTATGTGTACAAAATTATACGTATTTTTGTTTTAAATCTTTTAAAATGACCCTAAAACACAGAAATCAATGAAATCATACTGATTTCCAATAAATCCAACATGTGATTTCAGACATTAAATATTATAGATAATAAACTTCATAGCCCTTCATCTCTTTAGACATGAAATTAAATAGAGCATTATTTCTTGATTCTGTTCAACTGACACAGATGTGAAAAATGTGGAGTCACAAGGGATGCACATAAATCGTGTACCTCAGATGGTCCCTCTCAAAATTCTAACTGCCATCAGACAGACATAAGTAAAAGGTGCTAATGAGGGAAAACTGCTGAGTTCCTTAAATTCACAAGAGAGAGACATCAAGATTTTATCTTAACCACTTTCCCATCATGGTGTTATGTGAAGCCTTAGTTCTTTCACTTAATCTCAGCTTTGTCTTCTCTCAAAATGTACATAAATTCTACTGTAGCTTCAGGTTTCCAAAACAGCTTTCTATCTCAGCAGTCTGTCACTAAACTATTCACATCGTCTTCCTGAAGTGATCCAGCTATCAATCTTTTTATTATAAATGGTTACTGAATGCCATTATTAACATTTCATGCAAAATAATACCTCACCTAACCGAAAATCATACAACTGATCAACTTAAGTTAAATATATATTTTTGAGTTAGTAAAATGGAAATAGCATCAAAAAATTTCTTCTCTAAAAAAGGAAAATAAAAATGCTACATTATCTCTGTTTTCTTTTATAAGTCTTCCAATACAAAACACAAAAAGACTTCAAATTCTTGACCTTAGATCATTTATAAAATAAAAACTATCTCCGCATCGTAATTCCAATAGGACAGTGCTAGCAAGTGAAAGGAATTGGAGAAGTTAAAGGAATCAGAGCAACAGCATCTTCTAAGGAGATTATAAGGCAAGCAATTCACAGTCGTTGTCTGTATAAAGTCCAAGGTACCACAAATATTGTTAAAAATGCAAGCCAAGTAGCACTCGACAAGACAGCTTAATAGTTACTGCTTCAGGTGATAATTTCAAAGCATGTGCATAAGCATCTTACTTCTCTGAATATTCTCAATTAAGACAAGAAAAATTATAATTTTCTTTGAAGTTAGAATGTATCATGGTGAAATTTTATTTATTTTTCTTTTCAAGTGTCCAAAATATAAATGAAGGCTCACATTTTCTATTTTTAATGAGTGAAGAGAAATACTTTAATTTAAATAATTATAGCCATAAGCCATTCAGAGAATCAACTGGGGAATGCATACACATTTCCCATGAATAAGTGTTACTATGTAGACAAATACGCTAAGACATAGACAAAAAATTTTCATTTATTTTGCATTGACTAGTTGAACTACAACTCCGAATTCTTCCAAGTTTACTTCCTTTTTAATACAAAGCGGACATCTTGCCGTCCTCAGTAGGATCATACTAACGAAGAAGAAACAATGGGATGAAAAGAAAGTAACACCAAGAACTCAAGAATGTGGCAGGTATATCCTTAGACACTTTTGCAAATGTCATGTCAAGGAAATTATAGCAGTTTAATGAAGGCACAGATAGAAAACATAATATTTTTGGTTCAATTTTGTAGGATTTCCTACGACCCCATGGTTTAATAAAAGTATTTGCTGTTCCTTGATTATCATAAGCATGTGCCTGGGCATTTTGGAATTGTCACTGAATGCAATATGTTGGTGTTCTCTTTTCTTCAAGTCTAGCAACTCCTGAAGGCTCACCCTCTGAGCCCATGTTTTTCTCTGTTCCTTTCCTCCTTACTCTAGTATCTTTAAGATTAAAGAACTAGTTTTACACAGTCAGCTTGGACTGGCTTGATTTCTTCCCCAGATGCTTAGGCTTGCTCCTTTTCTTGCTGGGCACTGAAAGCTCTTAAGTTGTATTCAAATTCAATGCTTGACCAGGCACTGCAAGCCAGTCACATTCATCAGAGCAGCGACAAACAAAATGGACTTATTTTCATATCCATGTGTGAATCATGATAAACATCCAAAAGTTAGCGTTACTAACTTTTCCTACCCAAACCAGACCTACTCATAACTCAAACACTCTAGTCATTAAATGTCCCATATAAGATATTAGAAGGGGTCTTCAAAGGTCTGGCTTTATCATTCATATTAGAAATGAGGAAATTGAAGACCAGACAGAAGGAAAGATTTTCCCAAACTCACAGAGGACAACTCTTTCCATCTGAGCATTCCATCTGCCTGTGTCTTCCTCTGTCCTCTTGTTGGCACATCTCTGTCCATGATAGTGTATTTGTGTGTGGTATTCCTTGATTAACTGCCATCAGTTGCTACCCAACTCTGTCAAAAGGAAATTCACATTTTCTCACCATCATCTAGCTGTAAACCTTTTTTCTTTATCTCTCTCTTTTCCTTGCTTCTTTCCTCATGAATTCCTTCCTTCTTTCCTTCCTTTCTCTTTTCCTCCCTCCCTCCCATCTCTCTCTTTCTCTATGTACACACACATCATACACACACAGAGTCTGAAATATAGATATGAGAGTAGACACATGGTTGCCTTATTCTCTACTGTATCTCAGAGTCTGACACCACAGGGCAATATATTATACGAATGAATTAATATCAAATATATACACATTCCTCCTTAGTCCAGAGATCTGTTAATTCAAAATATGCAATAATTCAAACATGGTAAATAAATAATTGTATGATTTGTCTTTTGTGTTTGTTCACACAAAGATAAATTTTGTTGTGCAAATTGTCTAAATTTTATAAATTTAAAACGGAGAGTTTATAAACTCATGGGGTTTTTTTTTTTAAATTAATCTTCAATAAAAAGCTGGAAACATTTAAGATATTTTCTTTTGTTCACTAATCCATACAATTACTTGGAGTTCAGTTTTGTGTATTAACCCATAGAACTAATTTGCATTAACATAGATTTTAATAATTTTAATTTATAGCTTAGTTTAAGTGTTATTTTGACCATGTTTAAAAATGGTCTTTTCGGGGCACCTGGGTGGCTCAGTGGGTTAAAGACTCTGACTTCGGCTCAGGTCATGATCTCAGGGTTCTGGGATTGAGCCCCACATTGGGCTCTCTGCTCAGCAGGGAGCCTGCTTCCTCCTCTCTCTCTGCCTGCTTCTCTGCCTACTTGTGATCTCTACCTGTCAAATAAATAAATAAAAACCTTTAAAAAAAATACTCTTTTCATTTTTTACCCACTAATCTTCTTCACTATTCTGTACAAATTAAAAGCTCAGAATATAGCATATGAGCTAGTAGCACTAAACTTTATTTCACATTTCAGTCAAACAACATTGTGACTTTCTTAGGTATTCTGCTTAGCAGAGTGATATAAAAATATAGCTAAGAATCACTTGCTTTCAGTTTTACTCTGACATGCCCAAAGCATAACTTTGTAGCAAGACCTTGTTTACAACATAAGTGATTCTTTGAATATAGGGATAATTACCTTATATTTGTGATTTAATATCACAGTATTTTGTATAATACTTTTTGAAATGCTCCAAAAAGAAATTAATTCCAGGTTTCCTATTATATTTAAAATACTTTTAAATGTCATTTACTATGATCTGCAGTATGTGTGTATACGTGTGCGTGTATCTTTCCAATTGTTGCCTCCTAATATGTTTACCTAAAGTCTAGAATTCTAGAAGCTTCTTGCTATTCAAAAATCAGATGAAATACAAATAGGGGTGCCTGGGTAGCTGAGCTGGTTAAAGTTCTGCCTTTGACTCAGGTCATAATGGTGCTGCATTGGGCTCCCTGCTCAACAGGGAGCCTGCTTTTCCCTCTCTCTCTGCCACTCCCCCTGCTTGAGCTCTCGCTCTCTCTCAAATAAATAAATAAATTATTTATTTATTTGACACACAGAGAGCACAAGTAGGCAGAGAGGCAGGCAGAGAGAGGGGGAGAGGCAGGCTTCCCACTGAGAAGAGAGCCTGATGTGGGGCTCCATCCCAGGACCCCGGGATGATGACCTGAGCTGA